AACTAGACATTTCCCTGCAATTTGCTTCAATCTAAAGTTCAGTGATTTCTGTGCTGGCATCATTTCCTGCTGCATTGGTAATCCTTAATTTAACTAGCAGGATAGAGGCATGAAATGTCTCCATTTAACTGATTTTTCTGCTTAGTTAACCTTGTGGTGCTCTGAAATTGCTTGAGCAAAGATTACCCCTGAGAGATGAAGTTATATTTCAAATTCTAGAGTTGTCTTTTTTTTTTTAAATTAGTTTCCAGTATACAGTACAAAGGTTAGACATGTATTTCATTGTATGAAGTGATTCCCCCTGATTACTCTAGTACCCATCTGGCACTACACACAGCCATTACAGTAATATCGACATATTTCCTATGCTATATTCCCCATCCCCATGACTATTTTACAACTACTAATTTGTACTTCTTCATCCCTTCACCTTCTTCATCCAGTCCCTCAACCCCTCTCCCCTCTGGCAATCACCAATTTGTTCTCTATCTGTGAGCCTGTTTTCATTTAGTTTGTTTATTTCTGTTGTTCTAAGATTCCTCATATAAGTGAAATTATATGGTAGTTATTTTTCTCTGTCTAACACAATTCACTCAGCATAATACCCTCTAGGTCCATCCATGTTGTTGCAAATGGCAAAATTTCTTTTCCTTTCTTTTTTTTTTTTATGGCTGAGTAATATTCCATTGTATATATGTACTATAACTTCTTTATCAAGTCATCTACTTATGGGCACTTAGATTGCTTCCATATCTTGGCTATTGTGAATAGTGCTACAGTGGACATAGGGGTGCATACATTTTTTACAAATTAGTGTTTTGATTTTCTTTGGATAAATACCCAGAAGTGCAATTGCTGGGTCAAAAGGTAGTTCTGTTTTTGGTTTTTTGAGAAACCTCCAAACCATTGTCCATAAAGGTTATACCAATTTGCACTCCCACCAACATATACAAGGATTCTCCTTTCTCCACATCCTCGCCAACACCTGTTGTTGTTTTATTTATTGATGATACAAATCTGACAGATGTGAGGTGATCTCTCACTGGGGTATTAATTAATTTTTTCATTTCTCTGATGATTAGTGACGTTTCATATGTCTATTGGCCATCTGTATGTCCTCTTTGGAGAAATAACTATTCAGCTCTCTTGCCCATTTTTTATCCTTTAGGCTTAGATTTTTATATGTCATTCTTTTACGTACATAAAAGGAAATTATAAGCAAAATTAATTAGTCTAAAATTTCTTCACATTCCGGGTCCGGCTCATCTGGATTTCTTTTTGACTCAGAATCATGAATGTCTGTGTTTTTCCACACAATATTGTCCTTTGAGCCATCAAGAACATTGGTAATGAAGCATTTCTTAAGAGGAATACTCCACTATTATCTGAGATTTTCTACCAAGCCAATGACACCCATTCTCCAAGCTTTGATGAGCTTGTACAGGCATTGATAACAACATCACAACTGCTGTCTAGCCTAACAGCATTTGCAAGAAACATGTTGATTTTGGAGTATTAAAATATAAAATATAATATAAGTAAATACATCTTAGAAAAGATTAATTAGGGTAATCCTTTCCTATTGTATCATCTATCTTAACTTGCACAGTAATCTCAAGAGGAAAGTACTATTATACCCATTTTACAGATGAGGGAACCAAGGCTTGGAAATGTTAGATTTTCCAGGAGTTCACATTTGGTAAGTGACCAAGAAAAACCAAACCCAAGTCACTATGACTACAAATCGTGTGTTCTTGCCACTGTAATATACTGGCTTCATTTATATTCCCCAAATAATCAAAATATCTGATATAGATGCAGGAAGAATATCCTAATCCTTCCAGAGAGTATAGACCCTATAATTCATAATTCTAATATAAATGGATGGGTTTCTCTGTGTTTTGATCAAAATATTCTCATTTTCCTGATGGGCTAAAGTATAACTATAATGATTTTTTGACATTTACCCTGGCTTGAATTTTATGAAAATTTTTGATACGGTAGTTTTCTAATATCAAGCAACAGAAGAAGGGGGACTTTATTGGTGGGTTTTGTGGTTTTCACTTGAATGCTGCCATTTTCACTTAATTTATCATTCCAGCATAATTTCAGACTCCGAGTATAAATTGATTTGGCTAACAGTCTAGCATTTGTCCTTCAACTGAATGATAGCTTTGCTGGATAAAGGATTCTTGGTTGTAGGTCCTAGCTTTTCATCACTTTGAATATTTTGTGCCCAGCCCTTCTGTCCTGCAGTTTCTTTTGAGAAATCAGCCACCAGTCTTATGGGTGCTCCCTTGCAGGTAATTAACTGCTTTTCTCTTGTTGCTTTTAAGATTCTCTCTGTATTTAACCTTTGGCATTTTAATGATGATGTGTCTTGGTGTGGGCCTGTTTGGGTTCATCTTTTTTGGGACTCTCTGAGCTTCCTAGGGTCATATGTTACTTACTTCAAGTTAGGGAAGTTTTCCATCTTAATTTCTTCAAACAGGTTTCAACCTCTTTCTCTCTCTCTTTCTTCTCCTTCTGGTACCCCTGTGATTCGAATGTTGTTACACTTAATGTTGTCCCACAGTCTTAAATTATCTTCATTTTTTGGGTTATTTTTTCTTGTTGCTGTTCTTGTTGGGCGTCCTCCGCTACCCCATCCTCTATATCGGTGATTCAATCCTCCTCTTCATCCACTCTGTTGATTCCCTCTAATGTGCTCTTCATCTCATATACGGCATTCTTCAGTTCTGATTAGTTCCCTATTATAATTTCCATCTCCATTTTTATGTTTTTTTATCAGAGTTCTCACTGAGTTCATCTACTTTTCCCCTAAGTTTATTGAACATCTTTATAACCAGTGTTTTGAGCTCTGCGTCTCTTGATTCTACTTTGTTTAGATCTTTTTCTGGGGCTCTGTTCTGTTCTTTCAAGTGAGACATGCTTCTTTGTCTCCCCATTTTAGCTGCCTTTTTGTGTCTGTTTCTATGTACTATGTAAAGCTCCTAAATCTCCCAGTCTTAGTAATGTAGCTTTGTGGGGCCTACTGGCATGGTCCTGAGAGGGGTTCCCCTGCTGGCCAAGTTTCACCCCAGCCTGTTCCCCTCCAGGGCCACCTGCTAAGAGTCAGCAAGAAATCCACTGATGGCTGCTACCCATGTGGTGCTTATAGTTGCCTCAAGAGGCCACGCCAGAAACCGAGGCTCACTGCCACCCACCAGTGTGGGGCTTGGAGCTGCTCAGCAAGGGGGACAGGTCATGCCGAGGACACCTCTGGATGTGGCTTGGATAGGGCCACAAGTTGGGAGGGGGCGGAGTTTCAGGGAATCCTCCGGGTGGAGCCACCTTTGTTGTCCATAGGTGAAATGATGTCTCACCTATGGTGGCACCTGCATCCACATGCTGGGAGAGGGGAGAGCTCAACCGAGAATCAATGAATACCGCCAGCAGTTATACCCGGAAGTTAGCCACCCCTCCAGCCCTCTCCCTGAAACCCTATCCCTAAGTGTCCCTCCCATTTGCCCCTCCAGCAGCCACCCCAGCGTTGAAGCTCAGGGCAAGCAAATTTGATACCACAGAAGTCCAGTTACAGTCCCTTTAAGAGAAACATCTGCAGCTGCCTTAGTCTCTGTCTCACTCAGCCCACGTGGGACCAGGCAGCCTCATCTTTAGTTGAATTGAGGTCTGCTCAACTGTCTTGACTAATCTGGTCAAGAAAGGTTTTTCATATGATATGATTCAGTGGTATTTAGTATTATTTACAGAGTTGTGCAACCAAACCCCACAATTTTACAACATTTTCATCACCTCATAAAGAAACTCAGTATCCATTATTCTTCATACACCATTTTCCCCTCAAGATCCCACCATCCTTGGCAACCATGAATCTGTTTTCTGTCTAGAGTGTACCTACTCTGGACATTTCATATAAATAGAATCCTACAATATGTGGTCTTTCGTGTCTGACTTTCACTTAGCACTAAGGGTCATTCATGTTATTGCATGAAATCAATGCTTCATTCCTTTGTATTGCTAAATAATAGTCTATTGTATGGATGGATCACATTTTTTATCTATTCACAGTTGATAGACATTTCGGTTATTGCATTTTTGGTTATTGTGAATAATGTTGCTATGAATGTTTGTGTGCAATTTTGTGGACATATGCTTTCATTTCCTTCATTTTTGTTTCATCTTGTTCACCAACATAGGAATTGAATGTTCGAAAAGTTACGCTGTCTACAGACAAAAACAAGTATGGTATTCGCCTAAGGGCAGAACCAGATCACATGGTCCTGGGGAAGCGTCTGAAGGGAGCCTTCAAGGCAGTGATGACATCCATCAAGCAGCTGAGCAGTGAGGAGCTGGAGCAGTTTCAGAAGAGTGGTGTGTATCTTCTCCAACAGGGACACTACTTGGCCTCAGCCTGATGAGAATCTCATGTTTAGGCTCATACTTAGACATTTACACTGTCTTAGCCTTTTCTTAAATAAAAACTTTTCTAATCACAAAAATGTTCATTATGAATGATTTTGATAATTAAGAAAAAAATAAGACAGTTAAAATGACCCCTACCCATTACCCATCCATTTAATACAGATTGAGGATACTCTCTGCTGTTTAATATGTTAGGTGCTGGGGCACTCTTAAAATCTGATTCATTTCTTTCTAGTTAGAGATCACGCTGTAATTTTAAATTTCATGTTTTTCACTTACATTATATGTTTTTATTTGGATTTTTAATTTACATTATAAACATTTCTATGTGTTAATAATTTTTAAATGCTATTTCAATAACTGCATAATTTGCCTTCATTTGGATACCTGATGTTTTTAACCAGTCTTTTATTGTTGTTTGCATTCTTTTAATATTATAAATAATATTTCAGTGAATATTTTTACATGTACATATTTTATGGAATTGATTCCTTTTGGCTAGGTTTCTAGATATAAATTACTGAATCAGAATTTGAATTCTACAAAAGCTAATGTGGGTCTAGAAAATCTACCCTAGTGAAGAGAGAGCAGAACTCTCTAGGGTTTTATTACCAACCAGTGGTAGAGAGTATCCCTGTTATCACATGTTGCTAGTGAGAAAAAAGATGATGACTTTTGGAGGTGGCAGAATGAAGACTGGAGATTTTTTTTTTTTTTTTTAATGTATTTTTAGAGAAGGGGATTTAGCATTGAGGTTTGGAGCTTTTTTATGGAGAACTGGGTCAGAGCTTATTACAGTTTCTTTAAAATATCTGGAATTTATATTTTGGTCTCTTAATTGGGCAAGACTGGATTTGTTCATTCAGCAAATTCTTTTTTTAAGCTTTTATTTTTGGCTATCACTGAGAACATAGAGTTGAATAAGACAGACGTTGTCATTACCCTCATGATACTGGCACACACTGAAGGTTTATGGAAATACAGTTTTGATAAGTGCTCTGAAGGAAATGTATAGGATAATATGAGGAGTTTAGGAAAGGGGTCTCAGCTCTCTCTTCTCTCTTTTAGAGAGCCTTTCCATGGACCCAAGAGTTCTCAGCTCTGCCATGATTAGAATCATGCTTGATCTTATTATGGTTGCTTGACATCCTGCGGCTGTCCTAGGGTACAAAGTGTTTGATTGTTAGGGCTCCCTCTGAAGTTGAAAATCATAAGCACAGAGGTGACATGAGGAGAGATTTAAAGACCCAAATCAGATGAGTGGTTATGGAAATTAAGGGAAATATCCTCAATTTTCCCCAAACTGTTAGATAAAATTTATAAAACATAAGAAGTTAGCAACTAAAAGTTGAGTCACAACTAATTTAACTTGATATATTAAATTAATAAAATCTTTAATCAAATCTTTGACCAACCTTCAAGTTGTAAATCTAAATCGTATCACCAAATAGCCAAAATATCAAAAATTCCTGAATTAAACCTTATTGGAACCAAAAAACTGCTGTTTTTAAACAGTGGTTTCTGAATAGACTGTTCTGCACTGATGTAAAGCAGAATAGTTTTCAGAACACAATAACATGAAATGAGAAAGGCAGCCTGATGCTCAAAGACCAAGAACATCAGTGTAGGTGATCTCAGCAGGCTTCCTAAAGATGAGAATTGCCATTCCCAGGTGTTTGTACACCCTGCTGTAGACAGGCACGACATAGAACTTGACACTGTTCATCTCATTTCACCCACCTCACTGCACCCTGCTCAGCAGATAGCAGAACACCAGGGCCCTACAGTTAGTAAGTAGTAGGCCTAAGTTCTGTTTGACTATACAGGCATCATGGTGCTCTGTATTTATGGCAGGGGTTTGTGGCCTCCTGGCATGTGTCTTTGGACCTGGGAGTTTATACAACAGTAAACATTAGTGGTGATTTAACTGGCCTCAAGGCAACATGGTTCAATCTAAAGGTTTGTAACATCCTTGGTGGCAACAATGACATGAGTCAGAAGAACATGATATCCTGAAGCCACTGTCGCTTAATACTTGTAGCAGGGTGGCTTGAGGAGGGTCTGATTGAGTAACAGCAGATGCTTCTCCAATAGGGACCATTGTTGTGGGAGGCCATGAATTGCATGAAGAAGACATTCGCCTCATGTACACCTTTGACCAGGCAACAGGTGGGACGGCACAATTTGAAGCACACTCGGATGCTCAGGTATTTTTCTGTTGCCTAGAACATTTCTTTACCGAAAGATAAGAACATAGGGGAGAAAGTATTTACCTATGCCTTTTCCAACAATGTTGACAGCTTGTCTCAGGGTAAAATAAACCAGTTATTCATTTGGGATTAGCTTATTAAACTCCTCTATTACATGCTCTTTACATATGCATTTCTTTTTTAAAAAATTTATTTAAATTAGTTTCAAGTATACAGTACATTGGTTAGACGTCTATATAGTTCATAAAACAATCTCCCCAATTGCTCCCTCCCTCCTCTGGCACTCCACCTAGCCATCATATTAATGCTGACTGCATTCCCTCTGCTGTGCTCCCCATCCCTGTGACCAAAAGTATGGAACGCTTTGCAAATTTGTGTATCATCCTTGCTTGGGCCATGCTAATCTTCTCTGTATTGTTCCAATTTTAGTATATGTGCTGCCGAAGCGAGTACCATATGCATTTCTTGAACCATGTATAAATAGACATTTTGTGACTTCTACATGCAAGTAATTGTCCTAAGTTTTGGGTCATATGAAAATGAATAAGATGTAATCCCACCTTTCAAGGAATAAGTCAGTCATGGAGACAGGAACGTAAGCCAATTATTATTCTGCCTGATAGTTATCTGATAGAAATAAGTACAGAGAAGAGCTCCTATCTGAAGTCTGTGGTAGAGGTGGAGATGGTTAGGGAACGCTCCTTGAGGAGGATATACAGACAGTTTTGAATTCTGGGATCAGCATGGTTTATTGTGATGGGTCAGTGCATCTCTTTTTACTCTTGACTAAACTTCTCCGGGCAGACATGTAAGACCCCCAGTGTGGGAGTGGGGGGCTCCCTCTGTGCCTGACATGCCATATACAAGAGGAAGTGGGGAAGTACCTCATGTGAAGAGGCCTACCTCTTCAGGCCTTTGCACAGGGGCTTACACTAAATGTTGACAGAACTCTATATGTGCAGACTGGCAAGGAGCCAAAGGTAAGGAAGATAGGAAGGAGGGAAGGAAGGAAGGGAGGGAAGAAGAAAAGAAGGAAGTAGGTACAGGGAGGAGGTTTGTAAGCATTAAGAGGGTGCAGTCCCTCCTGATTATAGCCAGTATAAGGGAGGGCCTAAAAAAGTGGTCTACACTTAAGGAAGTATCATCTGGCGATGCTTCTGAGTTTTTTGACATGGTTTATGTATTGTGAGCCGTGGTGGCCCTGCCCTGATTCATCATCCATTTCCAGTTCTACCTTCTGTTGTAAGGGCTTCATGACTAATAATCTTATTAGAATAGTTGACATTATTTATTAGATAGACAAAAAGCAGTTACATGAAAGATTAACAAAAGCCATTCTCAGGGGATCTGTGAGCAGCACCCTGCAGAAGAAAAAGGGAAAGCTGTACTTCTCTCCGACATGAAGGAAACACTGGTTACAAACATGGACCCAAACTAAAGAGAAACTAGATTAACTATGTTTTCTGCTCAGTTTTGTAAATAAATAACACTGCATATTATACTTTTCAGACTTTAGTTTTAAATAGCATTTTGCTGAGTTCGAAAGAACCATTTTTCCTTATTTGATTGTCATGGTATGCTCTGTTCATCCCTACAGGCTTTGGTTCTCTTAGACATCACCCCTGACCAGTCAATGGTGGATGAAGGAATGGCTCGGGAAGTCATCAATCGTATCCAGAAACTTCGCAAAAAGGTTTGTCAGGTTAAGAATAAGCTATTGTTTTGGAGTTTTGTTTGTTTTTTGTTTGCGTTGTTGGGGAGGATGAGAGAAGTAGGTAATATAAACCATGGTAATCGATTAATGATAATTAGTCACCAATCTATAGTCTAGTCAGATTGTACTCAGGGAAAGTTGAGCCTCTTCCCCTCCCTGCTGTTCACTACTAAGCTGGATGTGGCTCTTGTGTTTCACTGACTAGGAGCTTTCAGCCAATCTGTACCCCTTGTCTTCCTTTTTAGTTCATTGGGGCTTCCACAAAATCATTTTCTAGATCAATAGCCGTCCTAACTGGTGCAATAGGTCATCAGAGATGACAGTGGGTATCTAAAGGGTAGATACACAGCCAAGTCAGTGTGGAAGGGCTTCTAGTTCAGGGGAGAGATCGTTGGATCTGGACAGGGTGGGTGGTTCTTCCTTATTCAGGATCTGGGAGCCAGAGCAGGCGCACGGAGCCCATTCCTTGCCCCCACCAGGTGAGAGAGCCAGGGAGTTCCTACCCCAAAGAGGGCTCCCACCAGCCCTCCTCCTTAGGCCAGGTGTTTAAGGAGGCCATTTCTAGCAGAAAAACAGGCTGTTTGTGAGCTCAGTCTCAGTTCAGAGCTTTGTGAGTGGGTCCTTGCTGTGTCACTCCTTTGTTTCAGAGGAAGACTGGGCAAGAGACTGTACCTTTCCATAATGATTCCGCATGGGATTGTCAGCCCTTGTTCAACAGCACCTTACATTTTAATTAACAAAGTACTTCCTTTTTTAAATTTTCTGTATGTGCTTTCAGTGCAATCTCATTCCAACTGATGAAATAACAGTTTATTACACAGCAAGGTCTGAAGGAAAGTATCTGAATACCATTATTGAAAGCCACAGGGAGTTCATATTTGCCACCATAAAGGCTCCCTTGAAACCATATCCAGTTCCTACATCAGATAAAGTCCTTATTCAAGAAAAAACGCAGGTGAGTTCTGAGTTCTCTTGAACTATTAAGAAATTTAGTATTAGATTTTATATTAAGTTCATATAGTCACATTTTGATATTCTATCCCCTCAGTTGCAGTTGGTATACTACTCAGTCCTGAGTGTTGCTCTGGACAGTAGTCAGTAGGGTCAGAGAGATAATGTCCAGAATAGAAGAGAAGGAGGGAAGGTAAGGCTGTTCTCAGGGCAGTTCTCTTGGGGAAAGTAGCCAGGAAGTACATAAGAATTGCCAGGAGGTGAGATGACTGTACGGGCCTGTTGTATCTAAAACTAGAAAAGTCAATATTGTGTTTTCTGGGAATTATTGTGTAAGTAAACAGCAGTTGACTTGAAAAGCAGTTAACTTTTACGGTAGTAAGTATACATAAAATTAAAATTTCATTTTTCTTGGTACACTTTAGATGTAACTGTGGAAGTCTGATACCAAGACATGGCCAGGAGTTAGTCATTTATAACAGAGGAAGAAATTCTATGTCAGTTATTTATTCAGTCCTTTGCTCCTTATCTTGTTCCTGCTTTATATGAGACAAAAAAGATAGACAAGCAGGAGCTGAAAGTGACTGTCTTTTCAGTAGGGCAATTTACAAGATGGTTTCATTTTCTGTTTTGCACATTTTTAAAAGTACAAGGTAAAAAGAAAAAAAATGAGAAAAAGTTATAGCTCTTGACTGTTTCAGTGATGAGATTGAATATGCTCTCAAAATTATATAGAGAGCTCTTGTTCTTAGAAGGAGTAGTTGCTGTGTTAGCTGGTGACACTGTGGTCAGATACTGCAATTACTCAATCACACATTCCCATGTGCTCAGTTAAAGGGGTCTGACCTGGAAATTACACTCACCAGAGGATCATCCAAGCCTGGCCCTGCTTGTGCATATGTCAATATTAACATCTGTACAGATGGCATTGAGCAAGGTAAGAGTATATGAATTCCATGATTTGTATTTAATTTTTTAGTTAAACCTATCACTATCTTTAAGACTATTATAACAAAATTGATAAATTCGGATAACATTTTGTCATCAGAGTGGATCCACAAGAGTAAATTATTGGACTTACGCTTCTAGGAAGATGGAATAGACGTACTTTTCCCTATTCCTTCCACAAAGTAGAGCTAAACCCCCTGCACATTATATATAAAAACCAACATGAGAAGACTGTTTTGTACTGGTCTCAGTCTGTCAATAACCGGTGTTGTTAGTGGACCAGCCCTTTTGTTTCTTAATATGATTGCAAGACACTTTTCAGCTATAACCATCAGGAAACTTTGAAAAGGTACATGTTGATTACTTACAAAACCTGGAAATTACACAGCACACCTAGAGCCACACAGCATGGTCATAGTGGAGGCAGTGAGTCATTTGGCAGGGGCGGGGGGCGTCAGTAGATGTACATCAGTGATGTCAGCAAGGCCAGAGTTCTATGTCAGCTTCAGTTCCAGGGCCAGCAGAATGAGCAGTGACAAGACAAATTAGGCCTAGATTCCCCCATCTGCTGACTCCAGTACTGCCACTTTTTGGGCCAGCTGACCGAACAACTGGGAAGAAGAGCTCCCGACAAGATTATTTTCCTAGGAAGTTACAAATGCAACTACAGATTAATCTTAACATGATTTTATATGGTTTGTAATTTATCATCTGGCTGAAAGCACTCATGTTACGAGGAGAAAACTACAAATGATCTTTAAATTTATTATTTGAATGTTTTTTTGGCCAGTTTTGTAAGCCTTTTGTTTAAACATTAATTGGGGGGGGGGGGGGTTGTTTCCAAAGTAATTGAATAAAATCATATTGCTTATAAAAAGAAAAAACTTTTATCAAATTAACATTTTATAAAATAAACATACAAATATAAATTTAATTTTTGTATACTAGCAATGAGCACATGGGAAATGAAATCTTAAATGCAATACCATTAACAGTAGCTCAAATAAAAGACACATAGGTATAAATCTAAGAAAACATATAACAGGACTTTAATGCCAAAAACTATAAAATACTGATAAAAAAATCAAAGATCTAAATAAATGGAGAAATACTGCATGTTAAAAGATTCAATACAGTAAATATGTCAGTTCTTCTCAAATTAATAATACAGGTTTAACTCAATTCCTGTCAAATCGCAGCAGTATTTTTTGTAAATATAGACAAAATTATTTTAAAATTTACCTAGAAAGAGAAATGAAATAAAATAGCTCAAACAATTTTGAAAAATAAGAATATAGTGGGAGACACTCTACCCAATTTTAAGACATATGAAGACTGTGTGGCGTGAGTGTAGTATAGACACATAGATCAGTGTCGCGGATAACACAGAAATAGACCCACAAAATGTGACCAAATGCTTTTTAAGAAAGAAGCAAAAGCAGTTCACCTGAGGAGTCTTTTCATTATATGGTGCTAGAGCAATTAGATATCCATAAGCAAAAAAAAAAAAAGTCCTTGACCTAAGTCTTATACCTTATACAAAAATTAACTCAAAATGGATCACAGACTTAAATGCAAAATATTAAACTATAAAACATTTAGAAAGAATAAGAGAAAATCTTCAGGATTTAGGACTAATCGAAGAGTTTTTAAACCTTGACACCAAAAGCCCAATACATAAAAGAAAAAATTCATAAACTGAACTTTACCAAAATTAAAAATCCCACTTTACAAATGATACTTTGTAAAGGATGAAAAAACAAGATACAGACAGGAAGATCTTTGCAAATCACATATCCAACAAAGAAAGTATCCAGAATATATAAAGAACTCTAGAAACTCAACAGTTAAAAAAATCCAGTTAGAAAATGAGAAAAGACATGAATAGACATTTACCAAGGAGAATAAACAGGTGACATATAAGCACATGAAAATATGCAACAATATCTCTCATTAGGGAGATACACATTAATTACGATGAGATATCACTACACACCTATCAAAATGGCTAAAATAAAAAATAGTAACAATACCAAATGCTGGTAAGAATGTAGAGAAACTAGATCTCATATATTGCTGTTAGAAATGTAAAATGGGACAGCTTAACAGTTTCTTTAAAAAATAAACATGTTTCACAGTGATCCAGCAGTTGCACTCCTGGGTATTTAGTACAGAGCGATGAAAGTTTATGTTCACCAAAAAAACTCTACCTAACGTTTATAATAGCTGCATTCATAATAGCCAAAAACTAGAAACAACCAGATGGTCTTCACAGATGCTGGTTGAAAAAACTATGGTTCATTTACACCATGGAACATGACTCAGCAATAAGAAGTAACAAACCAGGGATTAACATAACAACCTGGATAAATCTTTAGAATGGAAAAAGTACATCACAAATGGGTGCATGCTGTATGATTCCCATTTATGTAACATTCTTGAAATGATAAAATTATAGAAATAGAGAATATGTTGTTTGCTAGTGGTTAACTAGGGAGTAGGGGCAGGATGGAATTAGATGTAGATTTTAAAGGACAACACGAGATTCTTGTGATCGAACTGTTCTGTGTTTTAACTGTATTGGTACCCTGGTTGTGATATTGTACTACAATTTTACAAGATGTTAATTGGGGTAAACTGGGTAAAGGGCCCAGAGTATCTCTGTTATTATAACTGCATGTGATTCTTTAGTTACCTCAAAATAAAATGTTTAAATAAGTCAATAAAGTAAATATCTGTAGTTAGATCTAAGGTTATAGGATAAATCAATATCGAGGATTACTTGAAGATATTATCTTTCAATTAAATAGTATTTTTGACCACTCTGAGCCCTAGGGATTTATAAATGGCACAAAACGAAAAATGAGGGTCATGAAGACAAAAGTTTCCATCTAGAAAAAGATTGCCTGATGGCAGTTCCATTCCTAGAACAAATCTATCCATCCCTGGAACAAATCTACCTAGGATTGCCAAAGCACATACTAAGAGCACATATAGTAAATACTTAGAAAGTTAAGTTTGAACACCCTGTTTCCTTTCACTTTTCATTCAAATTTAACTTTTTTCCTAAGTTTTACTTATATTTGTGGCTTTTTAGGTGGAGTATTACTTCTAGAAAATCCAAAAGGTGATAATAGGTTGGACCTTTTAAAGCTAAAGAGTGTTGTTACTAGCATTTTTGGTGTGAAAAATACAGAACTGGCTGTTTTCCACGGTGAAACAGGTATGTGGAAAGTTAAAAGATATCCATGTCCTTTGATACAAGGTAGACTGGTAAAGATGTTAACTTGATATCAGTTATGCTACATAGCTTTTGCCTTCCTATTGACTGTAAGTCAGGGCCAGACTCTTCAGTAGTGCCTGCATGTAGTGTCTCTGTGTGCCTCCTTACTGTATGATGTGGCTGAAAGAACACTGGACTTACTAGGAGATGAAAGCTCCAATCCTGCCCTCTCACCTGTTAGCCATGTGATGGATTCTGAGCTTCAGAGTGAGGTTAACTTTATTAAACATAGTGCGTGCTTCTTACTAAATTCAGATTCTCAATAAATTAAGCCTAAATAAAATTTTGAAAAAATGTAAGTATATTCTCTCTCACTGTCATGCTTAAAGTATGACACACACCCCACCAAAAAAAGGGGGGAGGTACGTTGCAGTCCTCACCCCTGGTACCACTGAATGTGACCTTCTTTGGAAATAGGGTCATTGCAGGTGTAATTAGCTGAAGTGAGGTAAGGCAGGCTCTACCCAGTATGACTGGTGTCCTTCTAAGAAGACAGCCATGCAAAGACACAGAGAAGCACAGGAAGACCATGTGATGACAGGCAGATATGGGAATTATGCGGCTGCAAGCAAAGAAACACCAAAGGTTACTAAAAACCTCCAGAAACTAGGAAGAAGAAAAGAAGGATTGCCCTATAGGTCTCAGAGGGAGCATGGCCCTAACACCTTGATTTAGGACTTCTTGCCTCCAAAACTGTAAGACAATAAATTTCTATTGTTTTAAGCCCCCTAGTTTATGATTCTTACAGCAGCTATAGGAAACTAATACACTCATTTTATGAATCTGAGTGTTCATTTTCAGAAACTTTTAAATAGAAAAAATCTAAGTCGTCAATAAACAAAGGAACACCTTTTTTTTTTATAGTAAAAACCTCAGCGAGGCACTATTACTTGCCACCAGATCGGCAAAAACTAGAAAAATTTTACAGTATTAAATGTTGTCAGGGATATTATGTAATAGGAACTTTAATTTACTGCTGGATTATAAATTGATAGAACCACCATGGAAAACCATGTGCTGTCATATCTGTTAAGAAGGGAAGCAAAAGTGGTGTAGGAGAAACGGGAAGGGGAAGTAAAGGTCTGGAAGAGGGTAGTTAGTTGGAGGGTCTGAGAAAAATCTCTGGCCAGGATTCACCAAGAGGAGCTATAATCAATAACTCAGTGGAACACTTGGGTGGCCACCTGAAGTCACTATAGGATGAGAAGTAGGGGGCAGCAAGGACAGACTGGAATGCATATCTGTCTAGCCACATCTAACACCTGTGGTCGGGACCTGCAGAAGAAGCTTTGCAAGAGAGATGTTCATGTGCCTGGCTCAGAAGTTGGAAGAGCACCAGAGGACAGCTGCTTGCTGTCCCGTCTGGCCCTGTGAAAGCTTGAGTGGTGCCTAGGCCCCACAGTGACTTTCACATGTAGTGGCTACAACTAAACTACCTTCCAGATCCTATGTACCTTTCTCTGTGTTCAGCCCTAACCCATACCAGGACAGTCAGAAAGTTCTAGGAAACTGTTTTAGCTAAGTTAACAGTAAAATCACCATAGTTCACCCCTTATGATTATGACATCTATACTTGGCTCTGTAAACCATATCTAACTTCCAAATAGGACCATCATAAATTAAAAAGCGCACATTCAGCTATCCCTTGTACAGCTGAAAACATGCTTACCTTGTTACCCAAAACTGTATAAAAAGTCACCTTACCTGTCTTTGAATGATGTTGATTTCTAGTTTGAGTCACATTGCCCCTTTACTGTCCTTTAACTTTACTGACATAAAGTTAATTTCTGTTAATGTGTTTTATGCTATATAATAGGAAAGTGGAAAAAATAAGTATTGGTTAGTATAGACACAAATATATTATCTAAATAAGAAAGAAGTCATAACTATTACAGTCTCAATTCTATAACTGATCACATCAAACTTTCATCTATCATGCACCATATTTGGGTATCTGATTTAGAGAAGGGGTCAAAACACTTTCTCAAAGGGAATATGGTAAATATTTTAGACTGGGAGCCACAACTGCCATTAAAATGCAAAAGCAGACATGAAAACATGTTTTTTAAAATGTAAAAAAAAAATAATAGGTAAGGCTGTGTTTTATTAAAATGTTGTGTACATAAACAGGCAACCAGCTGGGGCCATAGTCTGCCTATCCCTGGTTTTAAGCATGAAGGCTATCTTGAAAGACATTATTCCAGCCCAGCAAACTGTTGCCACCCAGGTGGTCCTAAAACTGAGTCTTTAAAAGTTTTTTCTAGGCCAGCTGCTTCATGGTGGAAACATGGTATGGCCAGTGAATTCCCTGAACACATGCACCTTATCACACCTCATGTGCTGAAAAAATGAGTTCCTTGGTCAGAAGCAATGCTATGTGAGATATTGGTAAATAAGACATTCCCTAGTCCATGGATGATGGGTTTGACAGAGCACTGCAGGCAACGGAGACTAACCCATACCCAAAACAAATGTCCAGTAAGAACAAAGCACTGCCTTTTCCATCATGGATGTAGCCCAGTAACCAATCTGCCATCACTTGCCCTCCTCTTCCCCCCCTGGCAATAATGTGATATTGAAAGCCTGTGGTTGGTAGGTGGAATACACTACACTGTACCAACTAGCACAATCAGCCTTCAGAGTACAAGTTGCTGAGCCCATGTGGCCTCTTTGTTCATTAATTCATTGGGCAAGGACAGAAGTGTTTGGGGAAAGACTGGCTGGCTTCCACAAAATGAGTCATACTGTCCACCTGGTTTTTAAGATCCTCATTCACAGTCTACCTATTTGGAGCAATCTGCCCACATACGTTTGCCCTGACTTCCTTGTCACCAGTTTTCTAATTCATTCTTTCTAAGTTACTGGTCATTCCCAATCATTCAAACCATTAGCCATTGCCCATGGATCAATGTAAATCCATTCCTTTGGCTATCTCACCTGAGCAATATGAACAACCAACTGCCCTGAATGAAGTTATGACCATTAAGAGGATTCCCATCTACAATGTTCTTTAGGGCTGCCCAGAGTCATAGTGGGTCTATAGATTTGTAGTCATCCACTTTTGATGGTGCAGCATTTTGTGCAGAACCATCCATGCAGGAGCCCTAAAATCTTTTTTTTTCCCCCTCTGGTAGGTTCTCAGGAAGCCACAGGTATATAGGTCAAGAAAGGAGACCATGTAGCCCGAGGCTAAACATGGGCGTCTAACCACTAGATGGGGCAGGTTCCTTGCTCCTTGAAGGTCTGCCTCATACCCAGTCACAGTCTCTACTGGTCATTCACCTATGTTTATATCCCTAAGCAATGTTTAATTTATATAAGTACAGTTCTACATGTGTTCTGTATGTCTTGCTATTTTCCACATATGTTCATGAGTCAAATAACTTGTCTTCTGACTATAATCATTTTTTTCATATAAGGCTCTTTTCATGGTTCACTTTGGGATTCTGATGCAGGAGGAAATTCTAAGAGGTGCTATTATGTACAGTTGACCCTTGAACAGTGTGGATGTTTGGGCACTGACTCCTCTTCCACCCCCCAAGTCAAAAATGTGGGTATAACTTTTGACTCTACAGTCAGCCCTTTGCCTCTGTAGATTCAAGCAACTACGGATGGTTGGGAATGCAAAATACCATTTTCGATCCTCAGATGCAACACGCAGATACAAAAGAGTCGACTGTATTGAAAAAAAGTCCACTCTAAGTGGAGCCACACATTTCAAACTCTGTTGTTCAAGGGTCAACTGTACAGAGAAAATGCTAAAAGGGGAAAAAACAGTTTGCCTATATTTTAAGTTACAAATATGCCACTTTGCAGCAATAACATTTTCTACTATTTACGTGTCATCAAAGCCGATTTTATTTTGAAAAAAGTCAGTGTCCTTTGATACACAATTAAATGGAAAGCATCACTGTAAAGATACATATAAGATAATTTAATAATTAAGTAGGAAAAAATGATTGGCTTCAGCTCTGAACTATCTACCCCTGAAAAAATATCTTGTTTTTGTCATTTTTAGAAATACAAAACCAAACCGACTTACTGAGTCTTAGTGGAAAAACACTTTTTGTGACTACAGGATCAGCTCCCTCTCTGGTTGACAGTCCTAGCACTCTTCTCTGTCAGTATATCAATCTACAGCTCCTAAATGCAAACCCACAAGGTACGTGCCTCCCCGAGCTGGGAACACCCTCAGTTGACGGTTTGTGGGATATTGAGCGTTAAGGTTTCGTTTAATGTTCAACCTCTTTGACTTACGTAGATTGCTCAGGTTGGTTTCAACATGATGATTTGAGTGTAGAGTCCTACTCTGCTTTAGGGTGCATACACAAGCTTGTTTCTTTTGGCATATATATGTAGAAACATCCTCATCCATCTGACATGGTGAGGAAATGAGATAAATTGGTTAATAGGTAAAAGTTGGAGCTAAATAAAGTTGAATTGTTTAAATGCCAAAACATTTTAGTTTTTAATTTTGCCTAATTTTTTTTCTTAGAAAATGTTTTGAAAACTATTATTTATTTTTTCTTGTTCTTCAGGGTCCTCATTGTACTCATTTGTTACTAAATCCTTTATGCTCTTCATCTGACTGTTCACTGAATATCTCTTCTCAAGGTGCAGGTCTTTTCATACTAGTTGGTTTTTCTTTTCCTCTTTCC